ATTATTTAAAATACATAATCGCAAAAAATAAAAAAAATTTAAAAACAACAGTTTAAAACTTGTATTTGTATTAAATTACTTGTAAGAAGAGATTATTTCAATATAAAACCAACAAACGATGCGAAAGAAAAAATCGGTGATCATGGTCTTGCCTGAGGCATAACAGATCCCAGTTGTGTAAAGAGAAAAAATATTATGATCACCGATGTCAAATCATAAGAAAATAGCTAAAAAATATTTTGAAATAAGAATTAACTGCAAGTGTAAAAAATTAGAAGAAACTGTTTCTCGTACAAGAATGAAAAAATAACAAATTAACCTATCTTAAGAATTAATAAAGAGTATTTATGTAATTACTTATTTAAATGCTATTTTTATTTTCTATCCTTTATAGTCGGGCAGTGTTATCCGATCGGAAGGCTCAAATATAAAAAACTGATATCCACAATTAAAAAATCTTTTTTTATAGATCGTTGTGTTAGTATAAGCATTTTGATTTTGTACAACATTTGAGATGCAGCGCGGCTGTCAAAAAAATGTCAAAATTTGTCAAAACTAGTTTTTTGCGATTTACCGAAGAACTACGCGTCTAACAGCAAAAAGTATTTTGATACTAAAAAACTGCAATAAAGAAACAAGTACAATAAGTTTTGTTAAATCCCAATGTTTCACAAGGTTATGTGCAAGTTATAAAAATTGTGTTTTTTGGCCATTTTTTCGAAGTTTAATGACTCGTGTTCAATATATAATTAAGAGCTGAAATTCGGACTCAAGGTAGTTACTGCAGCCCTTAACATCCACACCAACTTTCAGCTTGATTGGATTTAAACTTTCGGCACACCACAGCGAAAACCAAAAAACGTCCTTCCGGGAGACTGCTATAAAAAAACTCCGATAATGATAACACAGGTCCACAAAAAAAAGTGTTCAGTTTGCTATGGAAGACCAACTTTTTCTCACAAATTTTTGGACGCTGAATCCAAATTCGCCATAATAAATGAGGGTCCGGGGTCAAATTTTGGAGACAACGTCAAAAAACTGTAAAAAATGACGTTATCGGTGATAACAGCTTAATAATAAGAAAGAAGAGAACCAATAATCTTAAAAAACATCATGTGTTCATGTATTTTTGCCTGCTCAATTTAAATTTGTCATGGTAAAAGAGATTTGACGTTCAGACTGCAGACATAATCTCAAAAAACTACTAAAACAAAGTTTTAAGTATTAAAAGCTCGAAAAAAGTGTGAATATGATTCGTTTTTCATCGCAATTACCTACACTCTATATATTCATGCCTGCTGAATCTAAATTTGTAATGATAAAAGAGATTTGACTTGCAGATTTTGGACATAACTTCAAAAAACTACAGAAAATGAAGTTTTTAGTATTGAAACCTCGAAAAAAGTGGTAATATGCTTCGTTTTCATCGCAAATACCTTAATTCATCTATTTATGCCTGCTGAATTTAAATTTGTTATAATTAGAGAGTTTTGACGTGCAGATGTCAGGAATAAGCTCAAAAAACTACTGAAAATGGAATTTTTAGTGTTAAAAGCTCGAAAAAATAGGGATACGAATCGCTTCACATGAATACAATCGTATTCCTGTGAGTTTTCATTTTTCAAGCCCGAACGTATTGTAAAAAATATTAGTTGAGTAAATTTCGAACATCAGTTATGAAAACTTGTGACAAATCACGTTTTAAGCAGTAAAATCTGGAAGAACTTTAATTTTTTGTGCACAAAAACTAAATTGGCTTACACTTCCGTACACGTTCGTTATCGAATGATCTGTGTAACAAATTTCTACGTCGCTTTTTATCATTAGATTTTTTATCTCTTCAGCATCCAACAATAATCCGCCATCATGTTTAGGCTACAATTCTTCACCATCTACGTTCAAATTCCTTCATGTCTTGATGAAATTTTTTACCTTGCTCTTTACTGACATCCCCAAGATTCTATGGAAATTGATCAAGGTGTGAATCGAGGAAGTGAAGTTTCAAACTCATTAAACAATCAATATCTAAGTTATTGACTATAGTTTCAACGATACTCTTATAGTTTCCATTTTTATTATTACCTAAGAATTTAGTTGCGACATCTTTAAAGCTCAACCATGCTACCTTCTCGATATAATTTATACTTCTGACAAATTTTTCGTCTCTGAACATTTTGTGAGTTTGTGGTCCATCGAACACATAAACACTAGAAAGTGGTGTGTTGTGCGTGTGTCTATGCTAACCGTAAAGTGTAAAGCATTTTTTGCAGGAATAGTTCTTTATAACTTTAAAAAAGAACTAAAAGTACTCGGACCAAAATGAAAAAAATGAAACGTGGTTTTTAACAAGTTTTCGAAGCTGATCTGTAAAATTTAGTCAACTCATGTTTTTTATAATACGTTTGAGTTTGAAAAATGAAAACTCACAGAAATACTGCTGTATTTATGTAAAGCGTATTCCCATTTTTTCGAGCTTTTGATGCCTAAAACTTCGTTTTCTGGAGTTTTTTTAAGGTTATGTCTCAAATCTGAACGTCAAATCTCTTTCATCATGACAAATTTAGATTTAGCAGGTATAAATATATAAAGTTAAGATAATTGCAATGGAAAACGAAACGTTCCCACATTTTTCGAGTTTTTCAAACTAAAAACTTCGTTTTCAGTAGTTTTTTGAGGTTATGTCTGAAAGCTGCACGTTTAATCTCTTTTATCATTACAAATTCAGATTTAGCAGGCATAAATATATGAAGTTACGGTAATTGCGATAAAAAAAAATCATATTCCTACTTTTATCAAGCTTTTAATACTAAAAACCTCGTTTTAGTAGTTTTTTGAGGTTATGTCTGCAACCTGAACGTCAAATTTCTTTTATCATGACAAATTTGGATTTAGCAGGCAAAAGTACATAAATGTATGGTGTTTTTTGAGATTATCGTTATTCTTTTTTTTTATTCTTAAGCTCTAACCACCGAAAAACGGCATTTTTACCAGTTTTTTGAGGTTATCTCCAAAATTTGACCCAGAACCTCTGTTTTTTATGGTAAATTCGAATGTAGCGCCAAAAAATGCATTAGAAAAAGTTGGTCTTTCTCAACAAACCAGACACCCTCTTTGCTTCCTCATAGAAGAAGCTTTGCATGGGTAAAAAATTAAATTATTTGTGCGTGTGTGTGTGTGTGTGTGTGTGTGAGTGTAATTAGTCAGGTCTCAGGAACCTAACAACCGATTACAATTTTTTATCGTAAAAAACTGGTTTTTCGTATTATTAAGGGTTCAAAATGTATTATGAGCAATTTTCAAAAATCTTACTCGATAGTTAATACGAATACCTTTATTTCCCTTTTTTAAGAGTCTTGGTAAGTGATCTTGAGCAGTTTTTATTCAAAAAATAAAAAAATTTTACGCCTCTAAAACGAATTAACATATTCTAGATATTAAGGACTACAAATAGTTCTTAGTACTTTCAGTCCAAAAAAAATTAAGTTTCAAACTATGTTAAAGTAGTCATATTTAATTGAGGTATATAACAAATACCTTATGTAACTTACAGAATCTTAACAATTTACTCCGTTCTGTTTTTAATTAATGAGTTACTAAGATTTTTCTGAAAAAATTACTGTTACTGGATAAAGATAGGGATGGTTCTTGGGCTGTACAATATATTTAAAGCATCAATTGAATCACCAGTAAAACTTTCCTTGAAAGAATTTTTAAATACAAATTATTTTGCGCTAGTATATGACAACGTTCCGTAAAAAATTCTTAAAAAAACATTGTTGATGATTAAATTATTATGACGAAAAGTAAATAAATATATTAGTAAAGAAATTTTTTTTTTTTTTAGAGCGCGCGGTGGCTCGGTCGGCTAGGTCATGGATTGGCACGCGGGAGACTGTGGTTCGATTCCCGGCCAGTGCGACTTTTCGGGCAAGTACCTCTGTGATTCTCACATGTGCTTTTTCACCACGCAATGCTCCTCGAGGAGGGTTGAGGCGACCTTCTCGCAACAAAAATTGCCTAATTTCCCCCTACCCCCCTCCCAGTAATGGGAGGCTTCCCATCCCTTTCCTTGTCCCTTTCCCAAGTGCTAAGTGCCCATAGAAGTGCCCTTATTTAAAAGGAGCCAGATGTAGAGCACTATAATATAAAAAAAAAAAAAAAAGATTTTTTTTCTTCAACGATTCCATGTTAGTTTGAAACAAGTTAACGACAAATGATAAACCTAAGTTTATTTCTTTCTAGACTTTTCATCAAAATTTTAATTCAATCATGAGTACATATTACATTACTTGGTTGGAATCGACATTAAAAAAATTTTTATAAAATAAAACATTAAATTCATGAAAAATCACAAATTTAACTCCCTGATGATGAAATAACTATGGTAAGAGATATCATAAAATAGTGAGCGTTATGAACGCTTCAAAATTTATATGATTTTGAAAATAATTTCAACAGAAAAAAAAAATTTTAATTTTTAAATAGAAAACTTACTATTTAAAAAAACGTATTATGCCAAGACAACGTAAAAAAATTAAAATCTTTAATAGTTGCTTAAAATTAAAAGCAAAATAATACAGTTTAAAGAAACTTTTTACCAATTTAGTGGCAGCGGTTTTTATTAAATAAACATTTATGTAAATAAACAAAAAACTTCATTTTTCTGTTCTTATTTTTCTTACTTACATCCAAACATAAAATTTTTTATTTTGTTATTATTGGAATTGACATTTGTATTTCTTAAAAATATATGGAAACTTCTGCTGATTTAATTGTTTCAATTTTATCAATGCGATCTTTTAATAATACAAATGTTTGCAAATGTGTCATTCTTTAGCCATAGATACGTCGGCATTAGAATGAAAATGTTGTAAACGTATTTAAAAGTGAACTATTATTTAAAATCTATAAAAAAATTAATTTTTGCATTTCTTTTTTTGTAGGATTCCGTATTGAAAATTCAATAAATGAAATAATTTTCTTTGCAATATTTAGGCCAGATTAAAAGAAATTTACTATTTTAGTACAATAATAATACTGTTCAGTGAGTATCCTATTTAAATGGATTTAAGGGTGAAATAATTACGTGTAATTTTAACGTGTCCTTATTCGGCCCTACAAGATATTTTGAGGTAGTGGCACTACTCGTATTTATAGAATCTTTCTTCAAATTAAGGTCTTCAAAAGGTATAATGTTATCTAAATTCAGGACTCGATGGTTGAGATCAAATCTATGAACAACTTCTTTGACAGTCACTATGTGTTCAACATCATCTTGAATTCCGTAAATAAGCACTCCAATTTTAACTCCCATGCCAGATCCATTATCAGTTGGGGGCTCTTTGCACGTTAATGACAATCGAACTGAACGTATTACATACTCTGGCATTTCTACAGTACCTTGCCATACAATAAGGAAGTATTTCTTAAACCATACACCTTTGGGATAAAGATCTACAACCCATTCACAACTTTTATCACCGACATAGTCAGCCAAGTAAGATTGGCTTGAAAAAACTAATGTTCGTGTGTGATAAGAAAGTAAACCAGAAAAATTTTCAACTGTTATTAAGGAACTACACGTGTCTACCGTATATAATCTTGGCTCAAATAATAATAAACCATTTTCTTCCATTTTTATTATTTCATGTACTTTGTAGTTTTGGCCGGAATGAAACGACATTCCGATTGCCATCCTTTCAACGAAAAATTCTTTATATTTTTGGGTTAATGGGGATAGAAGGAGTTCCGCAAGCTGTCTTGGAGACATCATAGGAAATCTTACAGCAGTCATAACTGTAAAGACAATTTGTTTGAATGCTATGTCGATATCTGCTGCACATGAGCTATTTTTCAAGCGCTGCTTTTGATAACCTAGCCAAGTTTCAAGACACTTGTACAAAGTCATTTCATCTGGAATAACCAGACTACTTTGACGTGCTAATGATGCAAGCACATCAACTTCAAAATTGGCAAAATCTGAAGAATTTGACACAAGTTCTATATTCCATTTAATAAAATCATGACAACCTTTTGTAATTTCATAGTGTCCACAATTGATACTATACTGTAGCCAAGATATTAATGTTCCTTGAACAGCTGCCAAAGGTATGTGAGTTTGCATAAAATTTAAGCATAATGAAATTAAATCTTTGACGTTATATTTATCAGCAAGTGAAATAATTGGTAGAACTATCGAGTGGCTGATACGAATCTGTCCTGTGTAAAAATAACGTAAAAATTCACCAAATATCACTGCACATTGAGGTGTTTCTTGAAGAGTTATACGGCTTTCTTGTGACTCACTCCATTGAGGACTCATAAGCATAACTTCAAAAACATCGCTCGAAGCGCATAAAATAAGACGGTGGGCTGGATATTCAGTATCATTTACAACTAGACATATGTCATTCATGAGTCGTTCTGCATATAATGTAGCAATTTTTTTAAGAACAGTACGTGAATTATCTACCTGAAAAAAGTATATACTTTAAATTTTTAATGAAAACATATTTATAATTAGTTATATAGAAGAGTAAAGAATAATATTACGAAACGAGTAAAAAATTTTAAGTTTCTACTTATGAGTGCAATTAAAAAATGGTTGTAGAGATGTCATGAAAAGAAAAAAAATTACATTCAACATGTTTTTGTTTAGAAGTATCATTTATTGCAATTAATGTAAAAGTTAGGATTTATAAATCAGTTTAGGAGTGAGGTAGAAAATAAAGTACGGCAGCATTAAACATTTTTATGATAAATTAAATTAAATTAAATATTTGCCTTTTCCAGTTTTGACTGCGTGCAAGTAATGACGATATACGTTTAATGAATTCTTTGCAGTTTTCAAAAAAAGGCTGGACAAGTCAACAACCAGTCAATGAACATTCACTAAGTAAAAAAAACCTAGCGTTTATTATTTGCTCTAGAAGATCAACAAATTTATGATTATGTAGATTAATATCAGAAAGGGCGAGAGACCCTTGAATTTTAATTGAAAATTGACAACACCTTGAGTCTTTGATAAGATATAGACTTACGATGAATAAAATGTCGTACGGCATCCTGTACTATCCATCTTTTTTCCCCTCTACATTATCCTGCATTCGCAAATCATATGTGAATGCATACTGTACACAAAAATTCCAGCCTGAGATACTAGCGTCTGGTCAGATCGTTGGTAAAGCTACACTGATGAGTTCCACCAACGATCTAGAACGAAAAATATTTAAATAAAAGATAACTGCGAAACGATATTATTTAAATTTCTATAACAAATGATATTAAAAACTGTGCAATTTTTTGACAAAAGATACAAGCACATCTGAGTAGAATTTTTCTACTGCATTATAAATGAATAGAAATTTGATATAAACATTACTGACAATATTTAGGAAGTAAAAAAAATGTAGAACTCGGCTTAAATGGGATCAAAAAGTTCTACTTTTTCCATAGTGATAAACATTCCTGGTAACCGATCTTTTTTCTCGTTTTTTATTCGAGCACATATTTAAAATAAAAAAAGCTTAACATCACATACCCTTGATAGAAGTATTGTTTAATAGGTACCAACTTTATAGGAAATCTGAAAGGACGACATTTTTCTGTTAAAAATTTTATGATCTCCAAGAGTTTTTAAAACAAAACATCCGAAAAGAAAAACAAAAAGAAAGTTATTTTATTAATATCTATCATTGCAATCCTGAAATTTTTAAAATACACGTGATTATGTACATAAACATCTGTTTACACCCTTGCACAGCAACATATTTAGTTTTCCCATACTTCTCGTAATACGTTTTTTTGTTAAACATGATATGGAATTTTACATTTTTTATAATAAAACAATCTGAAACAATCATAAAAAGCTAATGTATCAATTTCTCAGAAAAAGTCTATACTATAAAATCAACAAAATCCAAATAAACAAATAATCAGTAAAATCGAATTTTTATGATATTTTTATTTCGAAAATCCCACTGCAGCAGAAAGTATAGTTATGTTACAAGGATCAGATCTACGTACGTTATAGAGTGTTAAGTGGAAGAGAAAATTATTGCCTTGACTTTACTATTAAGATCACGTGTTTTAACTTAAAATTTTACAAAACCATACGTGATCTGAACAGTATGACTGGATTGTATTTTTTTTACATATTTGTAAAAAGAGTACGGCAGATGGTGCCAATATACGAGTGGAGACAAGATGATATTTAGTACCAAAGACTACCAAGAATTGTAAAGAGTTCAATACAAAATACACAAGTGATAAAATTGTTTTTTTGTCAGTGCGTTTTTATGCAATGTTTAATTTATGTTTAAATTTATGCATGTTCCCAGTGGTTCCTAAGATTGAGTCACCATTATGGAAACAAAAATTGCCAATTTAATAAAATCATTTGCTGAGCTAGTAACGAAAAAAATACGTTGGTGTAAGATATACTCAGAGTGATATCAAAAAAGATACGCAGGCAACTATTTCTTCTGTTAGAGTACTTACTTTCTATCACTGCATCAGTGTACTGTATGAAACAAATAATAAATCAAATAATTTTTTAATCTTGATTTTCGCTCCATGCTTCGTTAAAGCTAGTTTTATTCCAAATAATACAATGTTTGTGGAACTGCTAATGTGATCTCTAATAAGGAATCTGGTGAATTTATTGTACTATAGTCGGAAGTACAATATTAATGTTTACAGTTTTCATACTTTAAAATCGATCCTTGTGGTAAAATGTTTTTTTTTTTTTTTTACAAACAACTTCAACACCACAGCACTACGATTGTAAAATACGTGAAAAAAATGGGTATTATTTGAAAAGTTTGATATCACTAACATCAACTATAACAGGGGGGTAGATGAAGCCTCAAAAAATAGTCAATAAGAAATTGTTTGCAACTACGACAAAAATTGTTGAAAAGTAAGAAATTCTTGTTAACTACGACAAAAATTGTTGAAAAGTAAGAAATTCTTGTTAACTACGACAAAAATTGTTGGAATAGCTCCGTATTATTACCAAACTTAATGGAAAAATAGTTTTGGGTCTTAATCGTGCTTTTTTTTTTTTAATAAAACGAATAGCGAAAATTGACCAGATTCATTTTTCAAATTGCGCTTATAACTTTTTTGGGGGTATCGTTTTGCGAAATAGCTATAATAATTTGTTCGTTATTTAATTATCTATCGATCAGTGCTAGTTATATTATACAGCTCCACAAAAAAAAAAAAAAAATTGTGCGAAGACCTAGACCAGTCTCATATTACTATACTTTTTTGGGATCGCTGAATCCAAATTTAAGGTTAACTTTGGTCCATCATCTCAGGATTTTTCATAACTTCAAAAAAAAAGCTCAAAAACTCCATAACGCAAAAAATCATGAATTCTTAGAATTTTTATATACTAAAACCATATAACTTCTCAACCCTATAATCTCAAAACCTCGTAAAGCTCTGAAACCTCATAACCCCATGACTCCATAATCTCATAACTCGGTCAGTAGCAGAAATACACATGTCTCATACCGGCAAATAGCAGATGATGGGCTGTGCTTCACTCCACGGTTATCTCATGAATCTCGAGATCAACATTCCGTTTATCAGAGGGACTTTTTAACTCCATGGAAGGCATGGTGAAACAAGTTTTCCTCCCTTTTATGACCTTCAGATTCTTGAGATTGTCGATAAATCGATATAGAGACCCATAGGATCACAGAGATGGGATAGGCCAGCAACAAGTATATATTTTTGAGTTACACGATGCAGAACTTCTTAGATTATGTACCAAAATAATGTTCTTATGTTGCAGAGATAATTTTTTAAAGATATTTTACGAGTGTTTGCAATTTAGGACACCTCTACGTGGTTGACGGTGGGCAACAGAGTTGATCGGTGATCTGGCAGAGACCCTCGATTTCGGCTTTCATATCGTTATGGCAAACGCACGTATAAAAAATTACGATGCAGAGGGTTGGAAATCAAGCACCCCTAAAATGAGAGGCAAGGGGATCTCGCGAAAATCAAGCACCCTGTAAAGGCACACGGAAAGGAATATCACGAAAATCAAGAACTCCGTATCCTGAAGCGAGAGGACCTCACGAAAATCAAGCACCTCGAAGGAAACAGAATCCTGCTACGTCCACATCATTGTTTCTGGGTTTGACTAAATGTAGGTGTAGTGTATATAGCGTTAGCTTCTCCCCCTCTCTATAACCCTTTAATTATTACGATATCATCTTTTACGATCAGAGAGACTGTTAAACCTCATCAAGGTACAGCGGAACAAGCTTTACTCCCTTTATTACCCTGTTAGTATCTAGATTGACTCTTTCCTCATCAAAGACTTTTGAGACCCTGGAAAAGCATGTCGAAACAAGCTTCCCCCTCTATGACCCTGTGAGTCCCTATACTGATTTTTCGACGATCTTGAGAATCTAAAGGTCAGAGAAGGAGGGAAAGCATCTTTCACCATGACTTTTCCGGTGCTTAGCAGTTTCTCTAATCAACGGAATATCGATCTCGAGACCCGTTATAGAGTCATGGGGTTATGAGATTTTGGAATTTTTTGGAATGGCGAAGTTAAAGGGTGTAAAGGTCTTAGGGTCAAAACATGATGAGGATTGTGATATATTGAACAAAAGCCTATTAACTATATGTTCTGGCATCAGAAATGCGTATCTCTACTACTGATCAAGTTTTGAGGTTATGGAGTCATGGGGTTACGAGATTTTAGTGCTTATGGGGTTTCGAGGTCGTGGGGTTGAGAAATTTTGGAATTTTCAGTAATAACATTTCTGAAAATACATGATTTCTTGTATTATGGGGGTATTGAGTCTTATTTTTGAGGATATAAAAAATCGTGATGTGATGGAGCCAAACTAACCTTGAATTCGGATTCAGCAACCCCAAACATTTGTAGTAAGACAAGTTTAGGTCTTCGCACAATTTTTTTATTAGAGCTGTGTTGTCAGAAATCTATTTTTTGAGAAGTTATGGGGCACAAACTGCCGATCAAAGTTTTAATTCTGCAACATCATTAACTTTTATATTTTTATTGAAAATTCCTCAAAATTAGAATTCAATATTTCTTATGGGATCTTTAACCACGTGCAATGATTTTTGTCTAACGTTGAAAATGACAAAACGATTATCAAATTAAAAATTTATTTGGCATCCTTGAACCTTATAGTATAGTTAGATAATATTTCAAAAATAGATTTTCTTCAGGTAAGTAGAAACTTTAATATGAAAAATAATTTTCTTTTAAATTTTAACCCTGTTTTTTAAAAAAATTCAATTTTGTAACATACATTANAAGTATTAGATAGTATTGGTAAAGGTCTTCTCCTATCCTCTGAACTGTCATCAAAAGTTTGAGCAATAGTTATATTGTTCAGAAGTTTGATACATGTGACAATTTTTCCAATGGTGTACGATTGCAAATCAAAAAATTATTTTAGTGTAATATTAAAGCAG